CCCGAGTTTACAAACTCGACAAGTCGATTTTGAGGCCTCTTATGATGATCGGACATGACGAAAGTGCTGTAAATACCGAGTAAAATGGATGTTGTCTTAACATGGCTAAGAGCAAGTGTAGTTGGTAGGGGGGGTACTTATTACTACTACTACTACTACTACTACTACTACTACTCCTACTCCTACTGCTTCTGCTACCTCTACTGCTACTACTACCTACTACTACTACTACTACTACTACGACTACTACTGCTTACTACCACTGCTTACTACTACTGCTTACTACTACTGCTTACTACTACTACTACTACTACTGCTGCTACTACTACTACTACTGCTACTACTACTACTACTACTACTGCTACTACTACTACTACTACCACCACCACTTCCAACAACAACAACAACAACTACTACTACTACTGCTGCTACTTCTACTACTTCTACTACTACCACCACCACTATTGCTGCTACTAGTAAGATTACGACGACGACGACGAAGTGTCAGTACTCGCTGCTTCCACTGCTACTCTCCTCTTAGGGGCTGCTTTTTCTACTACTACCACGACTACTGCCACTACCACCACCTGCTATTGGTGGTGATGCAGCAGAAACGACAAGAGCAACAACAACAACGACAACAACGACTACGAATGCTACTGCGACTACGACTACGACGACGACTACTACTCCTACTCCCACTCCCGGTCCCATCCACTCCAACTCCCACTCTGCTGTTGCTGCTACTGCTGCTGCTGCTGCTGCTGCTGCTGCTGCTGGTAGTGCGACTGCCGCTGGCGCTGCCACTGCGACTGCTACTGCTAGTGCTACGTTATACATGCTGCTGATATTGCTGCTGCTACTGCTATCAGTACTAGCTACTACTTGTACGCCAACTACCCTTACATTTCCAGTTGCCGCGACCGTAGTGGCAGCATCACGTGAATGTATATCTTCTATGAAGCAGACTCTTACGTTAGCAGTGTCCAGCACTGCCTAATTACGCTCCTCGATCCGTGACCCTAGCCGAAGACGACTTACGTCAGCCGTGTCAAGCACAGCAGCACATCCAATGCTCCTCAATCGTCAAAGTCTTGAGCTCGTTGCGCCCTGAGCCCGAGCATTTCAGTCACAAGCCGTGCCCCATACATTCCAATTCCTTCGCTCCGCAGCAGGGGCCATTCTCGACAACTAAATTCTAACGCTGATGCCAGGCCGCGATTGATGAGTTGAAAAACAACTTGCGCGAGCCACGGGGCTGCATGGCGATTGCTATCGAGATTTGTTTGTTCCAGTCCTTTATCTATGTTGTACTTCTTGTTTGTTTTGGTAAGCTTTTTGTTTACACAGCTACACATACACACAGTGTCTAAGTACAAAGGCAGATAAGGCAGTCATGATTAGGCACGAAGACATGACACGAAAAAAATTCGTGCAAGAATGAGAGTTGTGTCTATGTATTTTATATGGACACAACTCGTCATGACCTACTTCTGTGTCTTTCCTACCATAAACAAGACGTGTGAAACGTGTCCTCTCGAGCCACCGGATTTTGCATGGTCTCACATCCAACATGTCTCAAGGCCTTGCAACACTCGTGTCGGATTCATCGTTGACGAGTGGTGTGCCAAACACCAACCACAAGTTGCTAAATCTCCACCGCTGGTCAGACAGCACGGGCCCCCAAAATTGTTGGTATTCGTTTGTGTTATGGTAGTCAAAGATGATCTCGACGTAAAACCAAACGTACAAAGTCGATTTGCTGCTTAGAAACCATCTTCTATCGAACAAGTTGGCTTTTGGCGGAATCCTGCCTTGTCCGTTGGAAAACGAAGGTTCTATCCAGGAATGTCATTGTTCCTGAGGAAACCTGGTTATTTATACAAAACGTTTTTCTCCTCCATGCTGTGCCTGCTGGTACAATGTTTTCCGTGCCCCGAATCCGTTTTAGCCGAAGAAAAGATGGTTGTTTCTACGAACTCGTTCAAGTTTTTGGAAACAGCCCCGGGATGATTGGAGTGTGCTTTGTTGGATTTTCCGAGCCTTTGTCGGCATCTCTACCTCTCAGCATGTGTTTGACAGGAATCTGCCGCAGTGTATGTAAATCAACTGAAGCAGTTCGTGTCCCAAACCAACTTGCTTACCCTCACCAATACACATAGCGAAACCTATACGCATAGCGAAACTTCTGGGTGAAATTGTACACATGTAGACGGCTTTTGTAGTCTGTGCTGGGTCTGCTTTGGGTCCATATAGGCCTGCTCTGCCTTTGCCTAGATTCACGGTTTGCCTTGGATCTGTGTTTGGTATGCTCTTCCTATGAATTGAGCAAGCGTTCATGTAGTGTTCCTGTTCGACTGCCGCGCCAGTGGTGTCAACTGGACTGACCGCGATGCAATGGTGTGATACTGGTCTTGTTGTACTTGTTCCTTGCAAAACAAGGATGTTGCAGGTTGTCGCTCTTTGCTGACATTGACATCTCGGCTCCGCAATTGGTGTGCATGTGTGATTTGCCCATAACCTTCTGAAGTCGGCTACACTTGACCCGGGGAGTGCCCTGCCTTTGCGCGCTTTATGCTTGAGGTACACAGGCCTGCACTGGGCCTGCAATTTTTCTCCCCTTGCTATGCATGTGGGCCTCGGGGTCCCGACCCTTGTTGTTCTTTTTGTTGCCCGGGGCCGGAGCCGTTTCCTCGTCCGACTCCATCTCCGCGTGCTCGTCCTCAGCGGCGGCGGCACGGTCCTGAAGAGCTAGCGGCGTGCTGCCTTGGGCGATCGCCTTCGTGCATTTCTTCTTGAAGGCCGTCTCCAGCTGCACCAGCTTCCCCTCGGCTTCCTCGTGCACTCGCTCCAAGACGTCCGCGGCCAGGTGAACTTTGTAGACCTTTCCCAAGACGGGGTCTTCTCTGGACTCGCAAAGCTGTTCGATGTTCCCCAGTTCCTCCTGGGTCGCGCCTTGTCGTTTCCAAAACGACAATGGCTTAAATTAAATTCTCCGGTCACTCTCTCCGTGTACCGACGCTTCGATTCTGTGATCAGCTCTGCATTGACCATCGCTCGGGTTTTGGAGCAATACAAGCGCCCTGGTGGTTTTTTTTCTCCCTTCTTTGCAGTTGATAGCCCATCCTCGCTCAACGTTTGTTCCGAAAAAATCCCATTGCGGGTCATCGTTGCATGGGTAGCATGGCAATCTTTACATGCCCACTGCTTTCCCTTTTGCACGCACGAGGCTGGCTCGAACTGCAATTTGCAACGACGACACGTGACTTGGGTAGGAGCCTCCGCCACAGGTGCCTCGACCAGAGTTTCAGCAGCAGCGTCCACAGAAGCACGCATGCTTTCACAGAGAGGCAGAAGGCGGGAGCAGCTGACATGAGGCAACAGGAGGCGCTTTCTTCAGCAGGAGCAGAAAATTCCGAGCACAAAACACAAGAAAACACAACATTAACAGTCGCCGATTCTCATAGCATTTATGTGTTTTGCATTCCGGCCCAAGCCAATACCTGAGGCATCCCAAAAAACACAACCCAACACAATTGTGTTTTCACGGCGCGGTTATTGATGACACATACGTCTTTCCATGCTTCTCGGCTTAAAACGCAACCAAAATACAAAGCCGCGCCACATTTGATCACACATCTGTGTTATACTGCCGGGTGTGCCATAACACATATGTGTTTTCGAGTTGTGCTCACCAAACCACCCTAATACCCATGTGTTTATTGACCCGGGCGTACAAACACATATGTGTTTTGGCACTTTTGGGCGGAAACGTTTTCAACACACACGTGTCTTAGATTGTCGCCTTCTACACAAGGCCTTGATTGTCCTGGAGCGTTGCCACGATTTTTCTTTGAGTCAGATTTCACCTCACATGTGCCATGGTTTGGGGTTGGTGTTATTGCAGATCGTAGAAGCACCGTAGTGGTGCCAACTCGCTGCACAAGCTGGCTTTTGTGATGTTTCTGCACACGGACTCGCCGTCGTGTGGGGTGCAGGTCCGGCTTGAAAGCATACACGGTGTTGAGATCAACTCGCAGCAAGCATGATGCGAACGACAACGTCACGATGGGCTAATATGGTCCCTGGCACCCCTGCGTCTGGCGGCACAGGGGTGTACTGACAGGGGAGAGCCCACCCTCTGAATAAGCCCTGCTGCTATACGCCCTGCTGCTGACAGACCGGCATATCGTGCAGATGGGAGGCTTTACTAATCAATCTTTGATGAGTTATTGCTTCGTTCTGCGGAACCGGTGCTGCGGCATGAAACGATGCAGCAGGCCCTGCAAGGAGGAGGACCTACAGCATGACCCATGCCGAGGCCCCGCCGGTGCTGATGTCAGCGACGGTGCCAGTTGCAAGGAAAATCACTTCACTGAATAACGCGGGGGTCGGGCTCATGTAGCTGAGGGCCGTTGCTTGTGCGCATGCGGGTTCAAGTCGGAATGTAGAAAGATTGCCATGATGCCAGTCACAGTGCTGTCACATTGCGGTTGCTTACAGATGTGGGTTGAGGTCGGATAACTGTTGGGCACGAGTTTGCGTGCTAACACATTGGGCATGAGCTTACGCGCAGAGTAGGGAGCTGGTGCTAGCCCAAGGAGGTTTGAATGTTGGTTGGGGTGGTCAGATCTTTACTTGAGCAACGACTCCTGAATTTTAGCACCAATGTTTATGTGAAAGTTGGCACTGAAACTACTGTGATTTTGGGGAATATGAATTTGGGAATTATGGAAAGCCCATGGATTTTGTTGTTTTTTAAATCGAAGCACAAATGCACAATTCTGTGAAACAACAAACACATGTCAAAGTTCAGCTCCAAAACCATGAAAATCATTGATTGTTGCAAGACTTTCTGAACACAGATTCGGTAGAAAAGCAGCAATTTCAGCACCGATTGTTTAAAAAGACAAATGCGTGTAAGGAAATAACACTGCCGAGCACTGCCGAAGTTCGTTTGTGCATGCCCGGCGGCAAACTCAACTCCCAGCACCGATGGTTCTAATGGCACGAAACTGAAAGACTTGTTTGTGTCGAAGGGTCCAACACGGAAACCTTGGCTTCAGCATTCATTTTTTTTCAGAGTTTGGCATCCATGTTCAGCGAAAGGTTCAACAAAAACTCTGTAACTTCAGGACCCAGTTGGTAAAAACATGGAACCGAAATTAAGGTTTAGTTCGTCGAAAGGCGCAACGAAAATCTTATTTTCAGCACGATGTTTTGAAAGAGTTGGAACCGAAATGAAGGATTTATCCATGGACGGGTCCCACAAAAACCTTTTTTGATTTGGGCGCCAATGTGTCTTAACAAACTGGATCCGTTATAACAGGGTATGTCGGCAGGCAAAAGTTTGAGTTCAGCAGCGATGTTTGTCTGGCATCGGAATCATGAGAAACGCCTTAAACAAGTGATGGGACTTCAGATGTGTAATTGAACTGATCTAGGAACGACGTGAAGCCTGCGAAAGAGGGGTCGAAACATTCAGTGAGCGCACAGCACATGCAGTCTCATTTGTGACACCGTGACTTGTCACACAGGCATGAATGCAGTTGTTTTGCTTCTACGCCGAAACCTTAAGTTCCAGTTCCAAATTTTGTCAACCCTGAATAACGCTACCTTTGAAACTTAACACGCATGACCTGCAATGAAACCAGTTGCGTCTGCAACCTCCGACTTCGCAGGCAGGCTCTATGGTGCATGATGAGCATTGTCCCACCATCCCTCCAATTCTACCCTGGCCCAAACCGAAGACAAAGTGATACAGCAACATAGTGACAACCCAGAACACCACCGAGATCTGCGCGGCGGGCCGAAAAGGCCATCGACGAGCGCCTGGCAGAGGCGGCATTTATAAGGTCAAGTTTAGAGTTGAAGCTTCAGGGCTTTGACATATTGGCCTAGTGACGTAGATAGAATCTCAAACGTTTAAGAACTAAAGTTTAGCATGTAGTCACGTAGCAATCATCGCATATGGATAAGTGTAATTGCGTTGCTTTGGGGGACTCCATCCAGCTTGAATTCTTCATTATGAGCTTGGACAACATGATAGCTTTCAGCATCTCATATTTCTGTGGTGCTGATACATTCAAGGCGTTTGAACATCCTCCGGCAACTAATTGAAGAAGAAATGTCGTGTCCCGTACCTGTCCTTTCTCACATCTCGACAGTTTCAAGCACTTCCGTTGCAGCTGGGATCTGGTATATGGGTTTGGGATTGCGATCCTAGTCACGAGACCTTCAGTCCAAAGTACAGTGGCTGGAAGACCTTGCTGCCAAGTGTCGAAGCCCTAGGTGTCGGAAGGTCTGCAGCAGCTGGAGGTGCAGACCTTGCTTGCTGCGAATATTGGTGCAATGGGAGTAAGATTTTGAATTACTGAAGCATGAGCACATGGTGAATGCATGCGATAACAGGTACTTGAACGGGTGACCGATCCGCGCAGCCACCATGTCAAATCTGAGACAATTTCTTCTTTTGGCTGAACTCATACGCCCCAGACAGCCAGTCGCATTTAGTCAATCAGATCTTGCGGGCACATTGTTGTCGTAAAGAGTTTGCAAGGTTTCGGGATCCAGAGGACAGTCTGCGCGGCTGGACGAAACAAATACAGAAGCTTTGTGGAAAGAGGATCGTTTATAGGAGTGTGCCATTTTTTTGCAGCGGAACTGTGGACCCCAACACTATAGCTCAGTAGCACTTCTTTTGTGCATGCCTTAGTTGTCCTGACGAAGTGTGCATTTGGCATATTGGGCCGTACACTGCCTTGTTGCTGTTTTGAGATCTGACAGACAGACAGACAGACAGACAGACAGACAGACAGACCCACGCACCCACGCACCCACCCACCCACCCATCCACAGACCCACCCACCCATGCACCCACCCACCTACCCGCCCATCCACGCACGCACGCACGGACGCACGCGCACGCACTTCAGTGCACGGCAGGAGGTGCAAGTGATGTAGGAAGTTGAGCGTCAACCAGATCCTATGCAGGCGGAACGCCATGCAGTTGAGCGGGCGAAGCGGCAGTTGGAGGTTGGACCTTGCAGGGTGCTGGTTTGGAGAGGAGCATCAAAGCGCTTAAAGTCTAAAGAGTTTGTCGAGTTAAAGTTCAAGACGTTCTATTGAGGTGGCTGTACTGCTGCACGGTATAGTGCGGTCATGGCAACCCTGTCGAGTGCAGCTACAGGAAGTTCTTCAACGACGATGCGTCATCTGTCACCCTAGGAACGTGGCAGACATATTAGTATGAGTTTCATTGGCAGCTGCACACCAACCCGGTTCAGATTGGAGCATTGGGCTGAGGTCCTTGCACAATGTCAAACGACTCCCTTGGAGAGTCTCAGTATCGTTTGGAAGAGAGTGCAATCTGAACTGAAAGCAATCCGCAGTCTGAAGCAGTCAGGAGGACCAAAGGTCGCGATCTCAGCTCTTTATTGTCCTATGATACTATGGTCGCGACGCCAAGGGGTGTCTTCATACGTCTTCAGACTCGAGGGACTTTGGAAACAACCACAGGACCATTTCGGAGAATTGGCAAAGCTGGTTTGACGAACTCCGAGCGACCTTGATTATGAGGCCTCAAAGTATGGAGGCTGAAAGTCGTAAGCCAAGCAGCAACACATCGACTGCACTACGTGAGATGTCGTGTCGCAACGCTGGCTTGAGATCGGATCAACGGATCGTTGGATGGATGAGAATTACCGGAGAGCGAACACCTAAAAGCTCTTGAAGAGCTAAAGCCGGAATCCTGAAAAGCCTCTCCCTGGACATCAGATCTTGCATGCTGAGTGCTGAGGAGACTCCTCCTTGCCCAGACACAATTTGATGCCGAGCAGGACGAGGTGAGACAGCGACGTTTTCCACTCATGCGTTTGCTCCTTGCTTGCCAATTGCTCAGGCTTCAGCTCCTGCTCCCGCTTGCCAAACTTCTGATAATCTTCTGACAATCAAGCTCCTCGTCCTCCTCCTGGCATTTGCATCGTGACGACAACGTCGCACTGCTACTTACTGCTTCTGCTGCTGCTGCTGCTGCTTCACATACGACAGCAACTAGAGCAATTGCAACAGCGCAAAACTACCACTGCCAGCGCTACGACTTCTACTGCTCCTTTTGCTGCTGCTGTCGGTTCTGTTGCTGGTACTGATACTACTACTACCACTACTAC